ATCTTATCATATACTCCCACATACACATACATACACCTACACACATACGTCCGGTATATAGCCCTCGCTGTCGCAGTCGCTCTCCACCACACGTTTCTTCTTCAAGCTGCGCTTCTTGTTGGGCAGGTCACCATGCTCTTCATCGCTCTCCGAGTCGTTGACTACATAGCTGATCCGCTTGCGCACACGCTTGGGGGCTTCAGACAGGTTCACGCTGGTATCCAAGGCACTGGCGTCCATACTAAGATCCATAGGTTTGGACACTTCCTCGGCACTCATGCGTGGCACAGACTGGGTGCTCGTGTCCGTGGCTGGCTCTGGGTGTGAGTGTGCGGCGTTGACACTGGGCATTTTGGCTACGCACGGTGTAGCCGCTACAGTTGTTTTGGCCGATCCCGTTGCTGCCACGGTTACCGGTGCGGGCACCGTGTCTTGCTTCTCATCTCTGTCGATGTCTACACATGGCATATATAGAGCGTAACAAGCCGAACGTCAATTCAAAATAAAAATGAATGATTTCCCTAGGTTTGATTTATGATGTAAGTTTCTCTGTTCCAATTTGAACTATATACTTATATTTAGATACACCTTGTACGTATAGAAGAATGATCATGTGCAAGTACACGTACACACTATACAACAGCATCATGATATGAACAAACACTCCCTTAGATAAAAACCATCGAATGTACATACAACTACACACCATATCAGCATCACAGATCTAAACACTCCCTTAGAAATATATATTCCTCTGAGTACTAAACCTTCGAATATACATACACATAAACTCTATACTGCAGCACCACGGATATACACATTCACACTCACATAAAAATCCAAATTTCTCCACGCCCAAAATCATCGAATACACATACACGGACAACTATACATCCGCACAACGGATAAACTACCCCACACTCACTTAGACATCTAAATGTCCCCACAGCCTATACACCACCGTATGTCTTTCATCTTACCTATCACGACTGCTTTGCCCGTGCTGGAGTTGTTCTGCCCAGTCGAGCTGCCGCCTTCGACCTGTGCTTTTGGGCTAGTCTCTCCCATATCTGATGTCTTTTGCGCTGATTTTGTTCCAGATGCGCTTGCGCCTGCGCCTTGTACCACTTTAAGTATCTCAGCATCGGATCTGTCGATAGCAAGCCAAGCGCCCGTATGTCAAATATGAGAAAAGATGATATTTGTTGTGTTGCTTTATATCAAATATGAAAAAAGAAGATATATGTTGTGTTGTTTTAAAAGACGTCCGAAATATCTGCCATCATGGGCGTGATCGTCGTTGCGACGAATGTGCATGTTCGTAGAGCATTGAAGTGTAATCCCCAGAATCAGGGATGGATACAGCTTCAAACAATAAGTGAAGAGCAGGAGATACAAAACATCTAAAATACTATGTGCATATATATTTGTGTACATGTATATGTATATGTATATGTATATAT